TAGATAGGAACAGATTTCAAATTCTTAATCTGGGGAAAATTTTCTATAAGATTAGTTAATTTAAATGCATATATAAACGATGAAATTTTAATTCATAAGAAAAAATGGGCAAATAGAAGTCAGCTATACAATCATCCACGTACGGTGCCCTGAACACGAGTCACTTCTACCGCTACCCTCATACGGTGCCTTGAACACGAGTCACTTTTATCGGCACCCTCGTACGTAATTGCGATTAATTGTAATATATATATATAAATAAACAAAGAAAAATCAACGTTATTATTCGTGTCAATAGCGACAGCGACCGATAGCGACCAACGGATTGAAAATTATGAAAGGTTGGAAAATTCTGCAGTAGATAAGAATTTAAAACAATTTAATTTCGTAGGATAAAAGGACCAAAACGTGACTAAAAGTGACATTTTTCTTTTTTGTCCTTATTTTTAAATTGCGAATATCTCATAATTGTGTCCGGCTGTGCCGGTCGTCTAATTTGTGTCACAGATATGCAGGTCCGTCGAAAGCCAGCGCGGCCTCCCGGAGAAAATCCGCCGGCTCCGGCAATAGTGGATTTTTTGCTAATTTTTTTGTGTTTGCGATTTAAGAGCGATCAGCAGGGCCCCGGGGAATTTCCACGACGGAATATACGAAAAATTGAAAGTCCATATAAATTCGACAGCGATGAAGACTTAATTATCATTCACAATAAATCAAACCCAATCAAATAGGTATATAGACAATTACGAATGTTCTTGTGATTGACTTCTTAAATGCAACATACTCAAGTTTAGATATAAACAAACAAACAACTGATAAAAATTTCACACGGCACACGTTTGCCATTTAAGACAATGTGCGGTTCACTGTCACAAACAAGCAACTCGCTGTGATGAACAGGCATGAAATTTAATGCAAAAATGAAAATGCTAACGACATCTCTGATCACATTATTTTATAAACGCAAAAAAGAAAAAAGAAACATAAATACAAATCCGTTCAATGAATGCTGGTGTAAATTATAAAGCTTGCAATAAATTTAAAAAAATAATTTGGCAATAAAACGTAAACATTAATCCACAATTGGGTGGCACGACAACACAGTACAGTAAAAATTCATTCTCCCCGCACGACCAACTTTAGTGTAACATCATTAAAATCAATTGCCAACCTTTCACCTAAATATACGAAATTTATATTCACTAATTTTATATTTACGTCTTAAATCGCGTGTTCAGCGTTTAACACGACAAGCAATATCAGCTTCGCGAATTTAACTGTAAAAAAAGTTGTCCAAACTTGTCCAAACACTGATAAACAAGTCGAGTCGTGAACACAAACAATTCTGGTTGGAACGCTTAAATTAAATGTATTGTAAATACAAAGATTCAATATACTTTACTGCTTTAAATTTAATTCGACTATTCTATCTATATTTCTACTATAAACGCATAATTCCCGAAGTTGTTCGTCGTTATTTTAATGAAAAATATATTAAACATTAACCTACCGGTATACATCGCACACGGCAAATCAAAGGCAAGTCCTGAAACGTAGAAAATACAAATTAGAATAAGTTTTAATTCGTCGTAGAAACGACTTATAGTTAACCAGTGTCATACGCAACAAATAATTCATTGCTTTATATCATAAATTCATATGCTTACTTGATTGTTCTTTGGAAGGAAAGCCGACGGACGACGGCCGACGAACCATCACTGTTAAAACATTCAGCTTACCACAAGACATTTAATTCACTCGCCCCGAATAGTTCAAACGTGTAAATAAATAGACATCATTTGCACTACACGCTGCCAGTTATTCATGGAATATTTAACGCGATTTATTAGATTTATTAAATATCAAAAGCAGTGGCGTAGCGTGCCTTGTCGGGGCCCCGTATAAAAATTTTTTTGGGGGCCCCTATATGGAGGTAAAGGTTTTTCCTTACACACTTTGGGGGCCCCCGTGGCCCGGGGGTCCCGTATAATTGATACGGCAAATACGGCGGTAGCTACGCCCCTGATCAAAAGTGACAAGTTCCGAGCACGACACATACCAACCGGCAAATCAGATGCGACTAGTTTTATCTACTTAAGGTGAGCACCTAAGAACGTGAACAAACGGTATTCGTAGCGCTATCTGACGGCAATATTATGAGACTAGCCATGTGAAAACAAAATTCAGCGCGCGCGGCATAATAAAGAAGTTCCAAGGTCATTTAATTTAAATGCAATATGAAACTAAATATTTTGAAATTAAATATTCTATTCTATATCTAAGCTACTTTTTCTTCAAGAAAAAAATAAGAATTTTATGTCCTTTCGTCATTTAATCATGTATAATAAGACTTTAATAGTGTAAATACATAAAAAGGAATGCATTAATATAATATCTTATATAAATTACACTATGGAACAATAGAATTGCACAAAAC